ATCCCCTGCATTCTATGAGAGCATCAAGAGGTTCACGAGAAGGCCAGTGAGATGGCTCAGCTGGTGTGGCCCTACATGGTAGAAGAAGAGAGCTGACTCCTGAAAGTTGTCCACTGACCTCCACATGTAATGTGTGTGCACACAAGATGATGGATGGATGGAGGGATGAATGGAGGGAAGGAAGGAGGGAGGAAGGGAGAGGAGGAGGGAGGGGGGAGGGAGGGAGAGAGAGAGAGAGAAAGAGAGAGAGGATCTCTACTAGTGGTAAGCTCAGATCACTTGAGGAACACCAAAGACTCTGGTCTGGATACAGCTGAATGAAAGCAAGAGAGAAATGGGCTAAGAGGTCAGGGATGTTACAGTGGGTTAGGACTGATGCAGTTCTGGAGGCTGCTGTCAAGTCTTTGTAAAGACAAAGACAATAGACATTGACATAGGAAGTCTTCAGCAAGAGTCTGGCTAACAGGCTAAGACAGCAGTGGGGTGCTAAGGTGGGGAGAGAAAGACAGATCCCTCAGGCCAAGGAAATAGCTGTGATATTGTGTAGTTGGTGACACTGAGTGAGTGAGTTTGTGAGTAAAAAATATGAGTGTAGGGTGACTGTAGGATTTGAATCCAAGAAATTTAAGGGAGCTCCCAGTTGCTAAGGTGAGACAGACACCAGGAGATTTTGAGGGAACTCCAAATGGTACTTACTACATAGCAAAATGAGATTGTTGAGTAGTTCTATGCTGGAAAGAGAGATCTGGGAGGTACCTATGTGTGGAACCTAAAGCCTTATTGAAAAGGTGGTAAATAAAAATAAGCCATCCAATCTCTTTCCTACAAAGTACTTCTAATGTATTCTTTTCTTTGTTTAGTATATATGTAAGCATGCAGTTATGTACATGTGCACATGAGCATGGATCTTTGCATGCCATGATGCATGTGTCAAGAGGAGAGGACAAACTCTAGTGTTAGCTTTTGCCTTCCATTTCAAGGTAGGTGTATGGCAGGCTAGCTGGGCTACAAGCTTCTTGGAATTCTCCTGTGTCTATTGGTCATCTCAAAGTAGGAACACATGGATTACAGATGTGTGCTGTTGTATCTAGCCTTGTGTGGGTTCAGGGAATATGACCACAGATGCTCATGCTTGCATGGCAAGCAGTTTACACATAGCCCTTTAAACATATACTTCATTGTTTCAGCTTTCAGTTTACTCAATCCCCCATAGATGTGATGGGGGAAAGGTGAAAGGAGAGGCCCTTTATTATTTACAAATGCAGGGCTGATAATCTACAAGCAAACATGGATGACAAATACATTTAAACGGATTTCTCATCTATAAATTATGTCAGTGTGATCTCACACTCTTACTATACATAGAAGAATGCTCTCCAAATAGTACTCTGAAAAAATGTATTTGTCTAAAACCCAAATAAAATGTAAATAAATACTCCCTAAACAATTAATCTTTCCTATAGCAGCATAGGACAAATATACCCCATCTTCAGAATCAAGATATCAATTAGAGAACCAATCGAGCCTAGGGTGCTGAGGAGCCTTGGTACTGAGGAAGATGTTTCCTAGGAAACCAAAACCCTCTCAGACACAAATATTGTGAAATCCAGTACTCCCTAATGCTGTATTGTGAATCCTACATATTTAGAAACCAAGAGCTTTCAAGTGAATCAAAAATGAAAGCAAGCACAAACAAGCAAACAAAAACCAAAAGAACAAAACTACTTTCCACTAATCCAGACCCCCAAAACTTATACAACCAACCTCAGGAGCAAAAGCAACCACGCCCTGACAAATAAAACCCAATACAATGACAGAAATAGTCACAGAGCCTACAAGACACCCAGAGCGAGGCGAAGTCTTTCTGATAATACTATATTCCAATGCATCGAGACGTTTCTGTCACTGCATTTTCTTCTTTCTTCTTGTCATGTCAACTGTCATAAAACATTTACCTTAGATACTGGAAGAGAGGAAAGATCAGATTTGTTTATTTGAATTCCCAAAATACATAACCAAAGCTATTTCAAAGACATGCAATCTTACCTTAAAACATACTCGATGTTTCAAACTAAACTATCAAAGTTTTACTCCATAAAATTCTTTTGGGAATTAACAAGAACTAGTGAAGAAAATGCTAAAAAAAAATGACATAAAACAACTATTTGAACTACCATGGGAATCACTTATAAAAACTAATCATGTTTTTACCCACTAGCAAGCAACTGGAGAACTGAAATAATATCCTGTCACAACAGGATTGACAAAATGAAATATTTCAGATTGAACTGAGCAAAGAGATGAGAGGCCCACATGCTGAAAACCGTAAGGTACAGACCTAGACTAATAAATGGTCCAAATAGAGAAATAGACTGTGCTTATGAGTCAACGCTCAAATTAATTCAGTTGTTCTCAAATATTTATTTAGATTCCATGAAATCCCAAACAAGATTTCCACAAAATTCTTAAAGTTTGATTTAAAAGTTTATACAAACACTCTATTTGAAGAATGCCAAAGCTATTTTATAAAATAATAAATGGAAAAAGGGCATCATCCTATCTAAGTCTAAGATGTGCTTTAGAGTTACGACATTGTATAATATTGACACAGGGTCAGATACATAGAATGATGGGTACAGAAACATGACCATGTAATATTTCAACTAAAATATCATTTATTTATTTATTTACTTATGAGAATGAGAGAGAAAGGAGGGAGGGAGGGAGGGAGGGAGGGAGAGAGAGAGAGAGAGAGAGAGAGAGAGAGAGAGAGAGAGATTGAGAGAGAGAGAGAGGAATACATGTGTCATTAGTCTACTTGTAGAGTTCAGAAGACAGCCCATCAGGTTGATTCATTCTTTCCACTATATGGGACCCAAGGATTGAACTCAAGTTGTCAGGCTTGGCAGCAAGCACCTGTGCCTACTGAACCATCTTGCTGGCTCGGGAAATTGATACTTGACAAAGCTACCAAAGCAATTGTTTGGTTTGGTTTGTTTGTTTGTTCCTGCAGCACTCCTCTCTGAGATACTAAGATGTCTCCATAAGTGTGCTCCATGTTAATGAATCTTTCTGTGACAGCAAGCAAGAAAAGATGTTCTCAGCTGAAAAGCAGAGTATCAGTGACAACCACAGGCTCTCCAGGCTTTGGTTTAAGATCAGGTCTGTTCCCGACACTTGGTTGTTCACATGCCCACCCCTCTCTACATCCACTTCTACTGGTGAGAACATAGCCAGGCTGTTTAGAGATGTAAAACTGAGGTCTATTCAGACCTTATCTTGTTTATGTCTGAAAAGCATCTGCAGAGACATCCTGATGAACTAATGCAGACATCCACAAAGAAACTGCACCTACCCAAGACCCCACTCACTCCCTCACATTCCCACACCACCTCTAAAGCAGACACTGCCATCTTCTCTTTTGCCCATTACAGAAACTTGTCCCCAGCAAGGCCTAGTCATTTGCCCAAATTCACCCAACCAGTCAGTGGCACTGCTGAGATTTCCATCTTGGGGTACTTCAAGTGATAGGCAGTGTATTTTTATACATACAAACCGGAAATAAATAAATGCTCAGATCTTTGGGTTCTGGCTCTGGCATTAATCATCTTGCTTTACCAATAAAAAGAAAGAAAGCCTTGGAGTTCAACACATGGCTGACATTTTATAGGGCTTTTGCTCATCACCAAAATGTTCTATTCTTCCTACTGGGCAATCAATACTTGAAGATGACTCATTTATATCTTTAGGGAGTAGACACTACATGAGACAAAGTCACAAGTGTTTTTAGCATTAGTCTCTAAATCTGGGGAGAGTAATTACTTGAAAAGAAAGAAAAATAGAAATGTGTGATATATACGACTAACAATGGGGCATGGAACTAAGGAATATCCCTGGGTCACTGGCCAGGCCACTCTAAACTCGGCAATAAACCAGCTGCTTAGCCCAACGTAACTGTCGGTATCAGAGAAAATCAGACAGATGCATCCAAATGGGACAGTCTAAATTGTTTACCCCAAACACCATCCCCTATGAAAATATTTTTAAAAGTAATGAATAATAAAGAAATGAACTCTTGGGTACTTTTTTTGGTAGCAAAATGGTCTTCCAGAGATAAAGTCATTCAAATATCCACAAGGAAGAGAGTACATGAAAAACCATCAATTCTTCGAAAGCACATCTTTGGCAGTTCAAAGTCTGAACCTCATCCATTAACAATCAAATTCATTGTCTATATTTTGATCTTCAACACAAGTACTATCAGTCACAGGACTCAGTAATGTGGTGTCTCAGCATTTACCTATGCAGGCCATGGAAATGGCCTAACATTCTGAGAGATTTCTAATACTTAATTCTAATAAACACAGAATGGGATGCTCCTGACAACCACACACTTAAAGTAAAGAATTTATGTGGTGAGAAAGATAATTTCACCTTTAAAACAAAACAAAATACATGTATAAGTCATCCCTGTCTGATAGTTTTACTTCTTTCCTAATAAATTCAAGGTGTTTGCAGATTATAGGGGCAATCTAATGGAGGTGGCAATGTCGCCATCTGACTCCAGTAAGTGAGTGTATCTATGCACCAGAGGGGGAGAAGGGAAAGGACATAGCACACAACTGCCATCTGCTTTCCTCCCCCGGCATCCCTGGAAATGAAGACAGGGGTGGAAGTCTCTCCTAGAGATGGGAGCAAAGTGTTCCTCATCCTGGGCCCACTGAAGTGTCTTTAGGCAACATTTGGCCCCGGCACATGAGACAGCCAGAGAGACACAGTGCAGTAGTTGCAGGGAGCTCAAATGCAAGGACTCCACAGACCCAGAATGGGCCCACTCAGGTCTGAAGATGACTGTGTGCTCATGTCGGGGCCATCTTTGCTCTCTGGTGCCCCACAGACTTCACTATCTTCTCTTCCTTCCTCACACAGTCCACAGCCTTCCAGTGTTAGGTTCTGGGATTCATAATCCTCAATACTCATCAAACAAGCAAGGTACTTACAGTTGCATGACCAGGTAGAGGTGGTTCGGGCTTTCATAAATATCTTCCAAGGCAACGATGTTTTCATGTTTAATCCTAGAAGTAAAGAAGAAAGCATATACATGGTGGTAAGGGCAACTATACTTGAAAACAAGGTCATGACAGAAAAAAAAAGAATCCCAACTCCTTGATGAGACACTAAAGATTCTACTACCTTGTTCTAAACTTATTCCTTAACTCATTACCTACCCCAATCCCTCATCTTCGTATTCCTAAGGCCTTGGAAGCCCACAGTTAATAACACTGGATTGAACGCTGTTGCTGTGCATATATGCCATCTATCAAATCTCTCAATACTGTATTTTCTCACATAGGTCCATGTCACGTGGCTGACCAGCCTGGGTAGAACACAACCTCTTTCTTCTGTCTCAATACAGAGATTGCAAACTAGTCTGAACAGCCACCTGTGTGTGGGTTCATCCCTCCTGATAACCAATATAGTCTAGGGAATAGTTTCATGTTGATGTAGGCAACGGAAAGCCAGCCTGACCACTTCCACCTGAGTTCACATTTATCCCATTAGGAAATTCAGTTTCATGAACTAACTAGTGGGTAGCAAAGCTAATTTCATCCTAAGTTTTCAAAACAATACAGGTTCAAGCCATCTCTCGACAGTTGAATTTCTCATTCTCTTTCTCTTGATAATCCCTGATATTACTGAATTACAAGGATAACCTCAACAGATAGCCCCTGAATCTTCTGAGAGTTTGGCACAAATGCAAACTCTGATGGGTAATACAAAAATTACAGTGGGTCCCAGCCATCTGTATTTTAAGACCTTTGGACAGTGTGCATACATAAAAAAAAACTTGAGAGAAAACAGGATAACAAAAGCATGTAGGTAATTTTCAAATTTCAGTGCAAAAATGAGTGCCCTGGGAAGGCAGAAATAGTGGGTCCAGGGTATGGACTTAGCATCTATATGTCTCACCAAGATGCAGATGCTGCTGGCTAAGGACCACACTGATCATCAAGGTTGGAGAATGAAGACAGCCCAGGAGAAGGAAACAGATTCTTTCTCCATGAGGAGCAGTTTCTGCTCAGCAGGTCAGGATCCACATTTATTTAATGCATATAAGGGAAGAATCGCTTCAATCCTCAATGAGCTAATTATCTCTGAGTGCAGCACATGCCTTTTGCTGGCATCCCTGATGAACCAAGCCCCTTGAAAGTAGATTCACACAACCTTGTACCTACAACAGACCTGTTTAATAAATATTTGCTGAATGAATGGATGGGTGATATTTAAAGGTCATTGCCACTGAACAGGAAAATAAAAGCAACTTTCCATATGTAGTTTGTGAAAATGGAGGGATTCCCCCCCACCAAAATATCATATGGCTTCCTCTGCAAAAAGAATGCTAAAAGGTGGAATGAACAAGAGAGTTCTCTTGATTTGAGCTGGGAGAAGAGCAGGTACTTAACAAAGAGTGGCAGTGCTTGGCTTTGATTTCTACAGCTCTTATTACTTAACATACTTGAGGGAGCTAAAATAATTACACTAAATTCACATTTCACCCACCTCCTGTGCAGGGCGCCTACTTATCTGTCAGTCATAGTCACTGTACAAGTAAAGCAAAACAGTATCAGCAGTGAGTTATATTAGTATACTAAACAAACCATGCCACCAAAGAAACAGCTTTGGTGCTTAAATGGGGTCTGTCAAGATCTTAGATATTTGTGGAATTGTCCTTATTGACTATGTGTGAGAGGCTACGACCAAAGAAAGTGTATATCATATACATTTTTTCTTTACTAGATCATAAATATTTCCAATTAGTCATATTAATTTGGGCTGTCAGGACCTAGATTTACAGGTAATTGAGACGAATGGTACCACATGGAAGGGTGCAAAAGCGGAATACTGGAGTCACAATTATCTCCAACACATTCTAGAAAACAACACACACTTTTAAACCAATGAGCTCCAGATGTTGCGCTGTTATTCATATGGAATGTAAGTGTTGCTGGGAGCCTCGTGTTCTCGTGTGCTGAGTCTTATCACACCTGGAAACACCACAGATCGGTACCTACGGCCCTGGCAGTCTTTGGAAGCTGAACAAAGAAGGCTGTCTGATCTCAAGAAGAGTTCAGTCTTTCAACAGTTAATAACCATTTCACTGTATTCAAAGACTCAGTTGTGTCCACAGCATTTGCCTACCCAAAATGGCAGGCTGTATGAAAGGCCACAGTGCCTGACTTGGCTGTGTGGGATAGAGAATTTGGTCCGTCTTAATTGGTTGCTGACAGTTGGAGCATTCCAGAGGGGAACCGAAGACGGGAGGGACAAACCATTAACTCTCCCTTCCAACCAGTGTCTCAATGAGTCAGGCAACAGAGCAATTTGTCCCACACTGGGTTTCTACTAAGTATGTGGAAAAATACAAGGCAGGAAAGAGGGTTTTGTTTTCAAAAAGCTTGTCTCGAGGAAGCAAACCACACACAATTAGGCATTAAATGGCAAACTCTGAGATTGTCTTTAAGATAACAGAAAACTGTCCTATGTGGGTCAGAATTATGGAAAAGATCTCAAGAATAAGATGGGGCTGAGTTTCCATGGCTAATGCCTGCACAAGCACACTTGAGTGATTTCAAATACATCCCAAAATGGCTGGCCTCTTCAGCGTCTCTTAAGAAAAGTGGTTTAACGAACTTGGAGCTGTTAGAACATAGTAAAAGACAACATTCTGGCCTCCTACATCTACTTTTAATCCCCCCTCCAGACTCCTTATGATAGAGACAGATTAAACTTAACATTTTAAAATTTATAGATTATCTTTACAAAATACAGAATAGCCATCCATTTTCCAAGGCTAGGGCAGGATCACAAACTCTGAACCATGAACTGAGTCCCTTTTTTCCCTTATTCATTCAACAAACACCCATATACCAGGCACAGTCATTGAGATTAGGGATTTAGTGGTGGGCAAGGCAAGAGGGATCCTCAGCTCCCGTGAGCATACAGGCTACAGTCAAGAAGCCTTCCCAGGGAGGCTGATACCCACTAGAAATCAGCACTCATGTCACTAGCCATCACTTCTGAAAGTAGCAGAGATTAAGCCTACATGTCTTCCTGCAGAGCAGGGAGGTTCATAATGCCTCCTTCTAGGCTTTTCTTTTGCGATCGACCCATCTTCCATCAGCTATCTTACAAGAGAGTCGCTGTCTCTTATCACTTGAGTGGCATTCATTTTGACCAGACTATGTTATTCCAACAAAAGTACAGGTGTGAAACACAGCTATCGGGAGCTGAGTATTAAATAACTATTACTCAGCCTGAACTAGATATTATGCATATGCAAATAAATGGTAACACAAGGTCCATATTTTTATCGTCTGTGTAAATGTTCACACATAAGAAGGTAAGTTCTATGTAGGTAGGAATATTAATGATTTCACTCACTACCGTCTCCCTAATATCAAAGAAGGGTGTGACAGAGAATATTTAAAAGACATTTGTGGAATGAGTGGGTGAATGAATGAATGAATGAATGAATGAATGAATGAAAATGAGCTCAGAGTTCACTAAGCCACTTATTCATCTTTACTTGCATTTTTACCAGTCAGACTGCTTTTTTTTGGAGCCAATTTATAGAGCTGTTTTATTACACCATTTATTGAGCATCAAGTATGTGTCAAGACTGTACTAAGCTGTGTTTGTTGGGACTGAGAATTGAACCTACCATTCACTTACACCATCAGACCCTAGGGATTTCTATTTTATTTAAATTAACAACAACATTACAGAGTAGACATTATTCTCTTCACTTTTAAAGAGGGAGACAAACATCTAGGAGGTGCGGTATTCAATTTGATAGCGAGTCATAATTAGCATTGTTGGGATTTGGTCTAAGTTTATTCTTACAACAAAGCCTGTTTTAAAGCTATTTACATAATTTTGTATGAAGTTGGTGTGCTGCTTAGTTTTTTGTCAATTTGATATAAGCTGGTATCATCTGGGAAGATGGAATCTTAGAAAAAATAAAGTCTCTATTTGGCCTGGAGGCAAGTCCATGGAGTGTTTTCTTGATTAATGATCCGGTTAGGAAGATCAGCCTACTGCAGGCATCACCGCCTCCATTGCCTCTGGTTCTATGTCTGCCTCCAGGATACTGCCTCGAGTTCCTTCCCTGACTTCCTTTCATGATGGACTAAGTCAGGTGCCTAAACCAAATAAACCCTGTCCTCCCCAAGGTGCTTTGTTCATGGTGTTTATCACAACAACAGAAGGCAAAGTAGGACATGAAGTCATAACAAATATGTCTAAGACAGCTGTTCTCAACCTGTGGATTGGGACCCCTTTGGGGGTTGCAGATCAGGTATCATGCAGATCATATATTTATATTATGACTCATTACAGAAGTAAAATTACAGTTATGAAGTAGCAGTGAAATAATTTTATGGTTGGGGGTCACTACAACATGAGGAAGCGTATCAAAACGCACAGAGTTAGTAAGGCTGAGAACCACTGATAAGGGAATATAAATCCAGAGTTACTTGTATAAAATGATGACACCTAAATTTGAGTTATCCATCTCGTCATTCACAACACAATATTCACCCCAAGGATTGAGAACCAAGACTATGTTCTCAGAAGAAATGTGATACAGTCTACATAGAGAAGCTTCAGGCATTAGATCTCCCTTCTCTTCCTGAACTCAAGGGGCAACAAGCTGCTAGGTTGTTATATTGCTTGACTTTATTAAGAGTTGTTTTTTAAAAATTCTTCATCAAAATCATCGACATGTAGTGTGCCCAAATAGATCCATAATGCTGCACTCAGAGTCGAGTACTGGAACTGGAGAGATGGCTTAGTGGTTACACTGCTCTCCCTGGAGACCTAAGTTCAGTTCCCAGCACCCACATGATGGCTCACAACCATTTGCAACTTTGGTTTCAAGTGATCTGATGCCCTCTTCTGGGCACCAGGCAAGCAAGCTGTGCACAGACATAGCATACAGGCAAAACATCCATAAATAGGAATCCCATACTAACTAGACAGGCTGCACAAGCAAGCAGAAGACTGGGTTGGTTCT